ATACATTTTAAAAGTAACCTTCCCAACACTGTTCATACTCTTGTCCAAACAGGTTTTCAGCTTTGTTTGCTGCAGTGATCGAGGTCCTGCAGGCTCTTAACAGTGTTTTCCTGCATTTATCTTTCCTGTACATTTGTCATTAATTTAAAATATATTTCTTTATTCGGGCTCAAATGGCTCACACTAACTGTAATGCCTCTGAGGCAGCTAATGTTTGCCCATTCTCCTAGTTTCCCTCATTGCTTTTAATAGTGCTCATTAAAAGGCAGACGAGTAGGTGTTGTAAAGGTAATTTTCTTGGTTTTGCTACGGCGATTACTGTTGGGGCGTCTTGTTCTCTTTCAGCAGCACATTCTCAAGCTTTCATTTCCACGGTGCTGGTCATGGTATAATCGTCTTTAAGTATGATGTACAGTTCATGGGTTTACACTTGTCAAGTCACTGTGGCGCAAACGCACAGCTGTGTGAATAATGCAATAATGTCAGACAGGAGCCAAATGCTGGATTTCTGTAGCGAGATGTGAGTCATAGAAATTACATTATAGTCGGATTTCCTGGTGAGCAATTTTAAGCCCTGAGAAAACTCCACTCGGTCATTTTCATGAGGTTTGGTCTGAAGATAATCTGTGCTAGATTGATGGACCTGATTAAAATCTGGCACTTTTACTGTATGGTGCATAAGTCATGAGCCAACCCATTGTTGTTTTGTAAGGAAAATGTGAAATATGTACAGTATTCAGCGAAACATGCAACAATGAATGGAAGTTTGTGCAATTTTAAAAATCTTGAAAGTCAGTATTTGGTATGATCAAGAAATTCCCAGAAGTAGGAACATTCAGGAACATTCATCCAAGCTTTTTGAAGTGCAACCAAAGCTTTTCTGTGGGTGTTGGCTGCGTTTTGTTCCACTCTGTTAAGATGATGCCACACTGCTTCAATAATGTTGCGGTCCAGACTCTCGAGAGGAAAATCTGTTATTGATGGTGTTCTGCTGTGTGATCTTATATCCAGGTACGCTTTTACTGCAGTGGCCATGTGTTAAAATACATTGCAAATCAGACACTTTCCAGGTGGTATTACATGGTGTATCAACGGCTGTGTTCGTATTTCCTACGTTTGATAAGATCTCCATCACCACTGACTGAAATCCTCTCCAATCCACTCTTGTAGACTTCCAGGAACTTTCAGCTGTTTGTTTTACACGTTGATGCCGTCAGATTTAGCGTGAGATGAGGATGTTAGTGAAGCACCACTGATAATGACACGAGCCTTTTAGTAAACGTATTCAGTACTAAGCAGTGAAGCAGCTGTCTATGATTGATTTTTAGAGATAAAGGTTAACAATGTCCTTCCGGCTTTTTTGATTTAAACCAACGATGAAAAACGAAAAGGTTTTTAATAACAGAGGTATATAAAGTGGTCGATATTTTTATCATCTTCTCCAGTGGTGATAACAAATAGTCACGGGTCAGATGAGTTGCCCGGGTATTGATTATGTCAGAGGTATGTGTTGCTGGTCAGTTTGGCGGCTGATCCTTTGCAAGTCGTCAGTTTACAAATTGCAGTAATAATTGGTGGATTTACACAACATCACCAAGGTTTCAGAGGAGTAAAGAGTGCCTTGTTATTGGAAACTACTTCTGGGTGCTCTTCCAGTCCATTCTCCTACTCTCAGCCACCAACCATCGAAAATTTGATGAACTCCTGCTTTGTTTTCTGAACTGAGTGGTTTCCCAAAAGGTTGATTCTGTTCATCTGACATAACGTTTTTATTTGGGGGGAAACGTTT